CCCCTAGAATTAAATGCCGTGAAAAATAAAAAAATTAAGGGATACTATGTTTTTCCCTTCTCCCCTACTGATCTTAATCCCTTTTCCCCATCTTTAATTATGGTACTAAAATAGACAAAAATTCGAGGCCTCATTTTGACCCCGGTCGTATGCCGCAAAAACATTGCGGCGAGGTCAGTTCCCGCGACGCCTCTCCGCGGCAGGCCAATCCGGGTCTAACCCTCTGAACGACCGGAAATGACGGTCCCTAGATGCGCCGAGTGCGGCCACCCATCTCGCCATCTTTGAGGGTTACTCATAAGGTTCAGTGCGCCCAAAATCCGAGGTGCCCTGAGCTTCCCTAATTTCTGTTGCCTGGTCATACAAGAGTACCGTCAAAACACGGACTTATCCCTGAGCCTAAGTCCCAAAACCGCAGATTTCAGGCGGCGCACTGCTTGTGGCCGCCTGACAGTTAGCTCGGACCACTTCTCGACGCCCCCGTCGAGCTTTATCCACTTACGTCAAACGAAGCAGACGAGCTTCAGGGTGATTGCCCGTAAAGGATGCCCACGTCGGCGTTTAATTGTCTTATGTTTCAGTTTGTTTTGAGTTCTAGGGCTAAGTAGATGTTTTTTAACTTTCCCTCTCCGTCGGGTTCTCGGCCTTGGTAGGATCCCCTTTTTCTTCTGTCGTTGGCCCGAGAAGGGTGTCGTCCCGTCAGTTTGTCTAATGCGGACTCTTCATCTAGCCCTCTTGAGCACGAATAACCATCTCTTCTCTCTTCCTAGAGCTAACCCTTTGACCTTTCTTTTCTCTATTATTTTTCTCCTCTTGGAACTTTCGCCTGCCTCGAATCGTCCCAAGGGAGCTCCATTCTTTATTTTAGCCTTCCCCTTTTCTTTGGGGCCCATCAGCGATAAAGTGGGTGCAGGCCTAGATCTAAACAGCTTTAACCTGGCACCCGCCACTGGGTCCTTCCACTGGGATCCGTCTAATTCCGCTATCATATAGGCACCCCAGTCGAGCGCCTCCACCACTCTGTAAGGTCCCATCCATCTGTTGGCGAGTTTTCAGGTCCAAGTCCTTTCCAGTGCTGCGTCGTAGAGAAGGACCATATCTCCTACGCTCACCATCTCTTTCCTGATTCTCACATTCTTATCCCATCTCTCTTTACCTTTGTCCCTTTCTACCGCCAGACGGTCTGCCGCTGTCATAAGGTTATCTTCCAACCCGTAGGCTATCTGTCTTGTTCGGGCAGCTATGAGTTCCTCTCTGGACATCTCCATCGCCCAGTCAACGGTTGTCCAGCTGTCGACGTGAAACTCTATGGGGAGCGGACAATGCCGCCCAAACCACAAGGGGTACGGTGGGTATCCGGTACTAGCCCGGACCGTGACGTTGTCCGCCCATATTGCGTATCGAAAATATCACGGTCAATCATTATCTTTACCCTTGCACCACTTGGACAGGGACTCTATCAGAGTCTGGTGGCCCCTCTCTACTGGGAAGTTCGACTGTGGGTGATAGACGGTGGCTATCGAAACTCTCGCCCCGACTCTCTTGAACACACTATGAACCTCGTCAGCTAGAAACTCCGCCCCTCTGTCCATCACTATCTTGCTGACACAGCCATACCTAGATAAGTACTCCAGGACGAATTTCTTCACTTCCTTTGCCGTCTTACTCCTGATAGGTCTACCGTCCACGAATCCAGTGAAATCGTTACGTATGTTCACGACATAGTTCATATTGCCTACTCCTTTCGGCATCTTCACCAGATCGATGTGTACCTTCTCTCATGGCCTGGCAGGATAGGATGGATGGAGAGGTTCTCTGTATTTCACAAGAGCTCTCTTCTAGCATTCCTCGCAGGTCATACAGTACTTCTCGACGTGTTTATATTGTCCTTCCCACCAGTACAACCTGCGTACCTTTCCGTAGGTCCCTTTGACTCCCCTATGTCCTCCGACTACCCCGTTGTGAAGCTCCGCAACTATCGTCTGTCTCTCTTCAGGGTCATAGACTACTCGTAAGGGCATCCCCGAGCCAACCGGCCTTCGAAATAGATGGTCGTCTCTGAGGCAGTACTGCGCCGCTTGTCTCCGGATATCTGATTCTTGACTCTCCTCTCCTGACAGGTGTAGCCCGATCGTTCGGTACTTGCCCCCGTAAAGGTTAACGAGAAATCGTTCGGCGCGTCTCGGCTCTGCCAATGTCAGGGCCCCAACTACTATCGGGCGCTCAGCCTCAAGAGGGATGCGCGAAAGCCCATCTGCCACGACATTTTTAGTGCCAGATATCCTCTCAACTGCGTAATCATATAGCCAAATCCGTATCAACCATCGGGCGATGGTCGGGTCCGTCAGACTAAAGTTCTTCTGGAGGACAGAGACAACCGCGGTGGGGTCTACTCTCAAGATGAACCGTCGCCCATAGATATAGTGTCTGAACGTGTCTAGACACCGTTGAACAACTAACACTTCCTTCTTGAATTGACTGTAGTTACGCTCAGCCGTATTAAGTGTTCTACTCTCAAATCTTAACGGTCTTTCCTTCCCTCCAGGGTCCTTCTGAGACAGCAACCCACCAACCGAACAAGGTCCCGCATCCGTGGACACTATGAAAGGTCTCTCGGTCTCATCGTCAAAGAATGGCACGCCCAGTACGCGTCCTCCCTCCTTAAATTCGTCTWKAAGGTCTTGCATAGCCGTTTCCTRCGAGGAACCCCAACAKAATTTCTCAGTCTTTCGAAGGAGTAACCTCAATGGCTCAGCCTTCTCCGCATACCCTCGTATGAATATACGCCAGTATCCGACCACCCCCAAAAACTGCCGGACCTCGGTTGGACTATGTAACGGTGACGACCAGTCCAGGAGTTTGTCTAGCTTCGCCGGATCTGCTCGGCGTCCTCTCGAGTCACAAATAAAGCCCAAGATCTTAATAGTCGAGACGGCCCATCGACTCTTTGTTCCGCTGACCGTCAAATTCACATCGTCCAGCTGGTCAAGTACCGCGCAAATATCTGTTAGGTGCTGCTCGACGAATCTTCTAACTCTTGGTACAACCTCTGTCTCATCCTTGTTTACTGACCCTTTTATAGGAAAGTCATCCAGAAAAACCTCAACCTTATCAGGGATGAAGTCCTTGAGGACGGCTACCATGGCTCTTTGAAAAACAGCTACCCCATTAGTCCACCCCATAGGGACAACCATCATCTGTATCAGTCCCAATGGCGTATGCATAGCCATGAGGTGCCTGTCCCTAGGATCAAGCGTTACCTCATCATAGCCTGAGAACAGATCACAGACCGAATAAATTGACCTGCCTGCGGCGCCTTCTGCTAGTAAATCGGCGTGCGGCACGGAGCCCACGTCTCGTATCGTCACCGCGTTGACCTTCTGAAGGTCCTGGATCCATCGGATCTTGCCATTCGGCTTTCGTAGGAAGAACCATCGATTAGCATAAGCGCTATCAGACGGCTCCGCTACATGGGAAACCATCTTTTCTTTCAGGAAAGCGATAACTTATTCCTTCTCCTTCTGGGTATATTTCCATCCTGCGTCATTCCAAGGAACATGTGGAATCATGTAAATCCTCGCTGGCTTAGCGTATCGAAGGTCAACCCTACCGCGTTCCGCCTCGCTGAAAGCTATCGCCTTATCACATGTCTTCAGAATTTCTATCACACGTTCTCGCTCCTGTGGGGTCAGATTTCCATCACGGATGTCCATCCCTGCTATCCTCTCTTCCGTTAGCCGTTGTGGCTCCTTTTTCTTTCTTTCTTTGATTTCTTTTGCGATCTTTTCTTCCGATATCCCTTCCAGTGGAGATCGCTCACGGCCCACTGTCACTGGCTTAACTTTTTGAGCTACTCGCTTGTGTCGCTTGGGTAGCCCCCCATAGGGGGCCGTGCCCTTAAAAAAGACACAGATACCACCCCGCCAAATTCCTCATCTGTCTCCTTTGGGTACGAGTTGCCGTCCACTATCAGCCGACCCCCTAAATCTTCCACTTCCACGATCCGATCTTCTTCCTCTGTGAGCAGTGGTCCATACTTCTTCTCGCGAAATCGCACCGCGCGGCCAGAGATAGGTAATAACTGAATCTGATCACTGGGTCTTGCTCCCACCGCGAGAGCTGCTCTATTCCTTGGGTCCCGAGACTCCACCGTCTCAATCATAATCCGCGTCTCATCTAGCTTCTTAATGGACAACGTCTGGCTTCCATCTGGTCGTTCTATCGTCACCGCATGCACGTGGCTCAACCACGTTCGTCCCAAAAGCAGATCGGAGCTGCAGTTCTTGACTGCAAAGACAGGCAGGGTCACTCGTACCCCTTTGACCTCTATGGCTGCCTTGTGACAAACCCCAGTGATCTGTTGTTTCCTCCAATCAACAGTCTCTATCTTGAATAGGTATGACTTATCGAGGCTCAGTCCAACCTGTACTGCCAGATCCTCATCTATAATGACAGCCTCAATGCCGTTATCGATCACAGCATCTAGTACCGCTCCATCGTTTATGATCGCCTCCACGGCCCCACTACCAAGTATGTAAAACTTGTCTGGTGGCACCTTCCATCCCATCAAGAAGGACTGTCGCCATGCGATCCGCTCTGGCAGTCCCCCCCGTTACTGCTACGGTAGGAGCTTCCACCTTAGGGGCCCCCTGAGCCTCCTCTGATAGAGGTATGCGAGTCTTTCGTGTGATCATCTGTAACTCATCGCGAGTTGGCTTCGATGCCGCCAGATACTCCAGAATAGAGCACTGCATGGGTTGCCGAAGGGCCCGTCTCAGTGGCTCGACCGTGTCAATCTCATCCAGCGAACTCTTCATCAAGAACTTCTTTACTCCCCGCTTTCGCGGCGAAAGAATAACCTCCTCTTCATCGATCCGCTGTCCACCGTCCTTCTCCGCCATCACGTAATTCGTGTCAGTTTTCTTCGATGTAGATCCTCTCGCGGACTTGGTGGCTGCCACCCTTATGGGTGTGGTCGCCATATCCCCCTCAAAAGTTATCTTGATGCTCTTACTCCTGACCGGTTCCTTTCCTTTACTCGGCTTTACTCTCCTTGCTTCGACATTCTCCTTCATCGAAGGGAACATCGATACATCTCCCAGATCATCTGCCCACTTGACGTACTTGCGGTCGTCAAGCACGACAAACCCCTCATCTATTGCCCGTTTGAGGTCCGGGCAATCTCTCTTGATGTGATCATCCCCTCTACAGAAGACGCAAAAGTTCCTAGGGTTGGGTGGCCTGTCGTCCGTGCCTCTGGAGGTCGTACCTCTCGCTGCTCTGGGGTCAGGCGACTTGGGATACGGCTCTGATGAGGCGCCATATCCCCTTCTCTCATTCCGACCGCGCGAATCGTTGCGGCGGTCTTCCCCAGATCCTCCTGACTCATATCGTCCCTTTGAATCGTTTCGGCGGTCCCCAGCGTCGTATCGCCCGCGTGTCTCACCGCGCCGATCTCCTCGGCTGTACCACCCCCGCGAATCGTCGCGCCGCTCTCTCGCGTATCCCCCACGGTCATACCATCCACCCGAGTCGTCTCGTCGGTCCACGTCTCGACGTCCTCTCTCATATCCGCCACCTCCGTAGCCATCTCGATCCGTCCTCTCATATCTTCCGTCCCTATATCCATCTCGGTCTGATCTCTCATATCTGCAGTCCCTGTATCCGTCTCGTCGGCCCTGATCTGACTCCCACCGGCCTCTAGAGTCGCCTCTGCACCGATCGGCCTCATAACGAGGGCTACGCGAGTAATCATCCAGCCTCCTAACTCGCCCATACGTCTCGCGAGCTCTGCGGTCCAGGTCTATCTCGTCATCCCTACGTCGCCATGGCTCATCGTCTCTCTCCCTTTCCCTCGTACGATAATCAGTCAGCGTGCGAGGATTTCTGTCCTCGACACTCCTCCAAGAATCAGTGTTCGTCCGATCCCAGCGAAGTGAATAGGGCCCTCCGGGTTTGTCCCGGTAAGTCGTGGCTCCTGTGCTTGTCACAATCTCTGTAACCTGTCTTGTCAGTCCCTTTACCATGTCCCTTATCTCCTTCACTTCCTCGGTCACGGCTTCACTCTTCTCCGACCAAGGGTGGTCCTTGAAATCAGGGCATCTATCTGTGGCATACTCCTTGTAGAGAGAGAAGTCACGTCTCCTCATCCCTCTCCACACTAAGTCCTTGTAGTCGTCTGCCTCTGCCTTTATCGCGAGCTTTAGGACTTCTGGGAAGTCAAGTTTGTCGCGCGGAAGATCTCTAAGTATACTCTTTTGTCTACCTTTGGACAGGTGTCCGATGAAGATAGTACAACGTTCGACCTCTGAGATCTTCCCCTTCTTCATCAGCACGTCGGATATCTTCTGGAAGCGCATCCCAAAGGCCCGTACGCTCTCATCCTCATCTTGAGTCATCGTTTCAAGGTCCTTGATGGAGTACTTGTTATCCTGCAACTTGTAAAGCTCTACGAGGTTCTTTTTGTACATAGTCCATTTCCCATCCTTGGGTCGGGCTTTCTTAAATAGGAAGTTCTCTATAATCTCTTCCTCCGACCACTGACTCCGACTTGCATGAAGCTCTCACTTCTCCAGATATTCTGTGATGCCATAACCCCTAAAAGTAGGTGACTCAGAGGCCTTGTGCGTAATAATATAGCGGTCCTTGCTCTCGTAAGGGACCGGATGCGACTCCCCTGTCTGAGGATCGAAGACTCGCCTGGGCGGCGCTCGGTCTCTATCTCTGTCCGTCCAATAGGAATCCCTCGAACTCTCCCGCCAGTCGTCTCTGTGCCTATCCGCCATGGTCTCCCTCCGCTCATACTCGGGGGAGTGTCGTCTCGTCGCTTCTCGTCGACCGCTCGAGGTTCCCGTTTTCAGTGCCTCCTGCGGCTCCGTCACGACCGGCTCGCCCATTACATCGGGCTCTCCGTCATTGGTTTGGTCAGCCCATCTCAGCGGTGCGTTCCGCCTAATTCGTTCCTTCAGATCCCTCAGAGCTCGGTCGGGCGATGTTCTGTACTCCTCTCCTGTCTCGGCCGTGGTCGGTTGTGGCCCCATCGTATCTGGTTCCATAGGCCACTAGAAGACGCAGTCAGGCACTCTCGCCGGGTGTTACAGCCCGGACGTATGACAGTTGCTGCAGCCCGGATCTGTGGCGGAACTCGCAGCCCGGACCAGTTTCAGAACTCGCAGCCCGGACCAGTTTCGGAACTCGCAGCCCGGACCAGTTTCCTTGTCACGGTTCACGCTCGTCACCAACCCTAGCTCTCGACTACCCTGATCACTGCCACCAGTACTCGGTTCCGGTCGCGGATCTCGTGCTCTCCCTCTATCCCAAGAATCCCTGTGTCTAGGTAGACCTCCCCTTCGGGATCGGCCAACAAGGTTGCGCCTCTCCGGATCTGCAGTATACCCATGACAAGATTTCTATACATGCGGCAGATTGCAGTCCCTAGCCTAGCCTATGTCTCCTGATCAAAACCCCTCAAGAGCCTCCGAGCGTCTAACTCCTCCCTCCTTGCTAGGTCTCCTAGCCCGTCCTGAATCGGGTAGCGTGCTGAAGGTGGAAGCTCTCCTCCTACTGCCATCCAAAGTCGCCCGCCGACCTTTCTGACCTGTACTTTCTTTCCAAGAGCTTCCAACCTCTATTTCTCCTCCTTCAACTTCCAAACAGCCATGAGATCATCTGTCTAGCACCTGAGGTAAGTCAGTGCTATAGCTACTCGTAACCTCATCGCCGACAGCTCCAAAATGTCATAGAATGTCTCAAAGTCCTCCTCATCTCCACCATCTTCTATGGCCTCTGAAGTCTTTATCGACTCCTTCCAGTACCAATCGTGAGCGGCTAGCACCCTGAGTATGGCACCGTCTGTTACAACTCTCCCTAACTCTCCAGCTTTCTTGGCTTCGCTTATCTTCAACCTCTCAGCCTCTCTGGTCGTCTCATACCATACCCTTATCCGCGACCGCCCTTCAAAAGGTGTTACTCAAAGTACGTATTTTATCCTCCGTCCTCCTTCTATTCCAATCCAAAGTCCTGTCCCCCTGGCCTCACGCAGGGCACGACGGACACACTCTGCCTCCTCAACTATGCACAGTCTGGTATGGAGCTGGAGCTCWACGATCACTAACACCAATGGTCCGTCCAATCTTCCTACCACATGCAATGAGTACCGATCCGTCGTGTGTAGTGCAGTCCCGCTCATGTCCTGTCGCTACCTCCCTGCGTTACCTCGTCCTCCGTTGTCACCCCCTCTGCAGACCTCTCACTAGTTCCTTCGCGTGATACGCTTCTAGCCTTTACCCTCTCCAGAAAGTCTGATCTCCACGCCTGGATAATCTCTCTTTCCTCCCTAAACAGGCTCTCCAACTCTCTCGTCACGAGCTCAGCCCCACACAACTTGCTCTCATCCTGACACGACCAGATCTCCCTTAACTTGTTCCCCAACTCCTTCACCTGGTTCAAAAGCAGTTCTTTAATGCGCTCTCTCACTCTTCCGACTGCATCACTCTCCTTTTCCATTCTCAGTCTTCATCTTTTTCCAGCTCATCCTCTCACTCTTGCTCTAGCCTCCTCTACCGTCTCGTCATGGAAGTGCTTCGCACGCATATAGCCATGTGACCATATCATCACCTCATAGGAAATCGAGGTCTGGAAGGTCACCCGCGCCAGTACATCAACTCTATGCTCGTGGATCAAATCCCTGGCTCGTTGTCTGCACTCCCTCGCTGTCAAGTCTTCATCTATGTATGCTCGGAGTAGTACCGTCACAGTGTACCCGGTGCTCACCAGTTGCTCTCCAGCATGCATCACTGTGGCCGCTCTCCCCGGCATTCCCTAAGCTGCGGCCTCGAAGAGAAACCTCACATCCTCCAGCCCCATGTAATCGATCTTCGCCCGTCTCCTGCAGTACCTAATCAGATCGACTGGGCTCAGACAGTCCACCCAGTTAGTAACGTCTATGACGTCGTCAAGCGTCTCTCTACAAGGCGGTCCCCACCTCACACAAATGGCGTAGTATACTTCCCTGAAACGGGGCGCTAAGCCCTCCCAGAGCGCGTAAAGTGTATGGTCCACTGCTTTACTCAAACGTTCTACGCTCCCATAGGTCTGCCCTATCACGAAGGCAAAAAGTCCGAGTCGCCAATCCTCTCTCGGGTAGAGGGTCGGATGTGGTGGACCGTACACCAAGCGAACGCGTCCTCCCTCCAGAGAGTCTCGCCAGTTGCTGATTAATGATCACTCTGGCCAACGACTCGCTTCTCCACCAACTTCTGCTCGCCCCTGCGAGAGTCAGTCCTATCTCTAAATCGTGTGCTCTATCCGCTATCAGATGTCCGACCCCTTCTAGATCATGAGTCATCTCGGGTCGTTCGTTTCATAGTATCACTGTCCAAAGGAAGAGCCCCTCTGCGAGCCACGTTCCCAAGTATCGTATCGGAACACGCCCTGCCCCTTCTAACGCCACAGGAAGTGGAATGTCGTATCCAACCGCCGTCTCTCTGGCTCCCACAAGCTTCCTCACACTATACGATTCGGATTCTCGTGAGAGAACATAAGCTAACCAGGCCACTGAGTCACTCCTCATCTCCTTTCCGACTCTCGGTCAGCATCACTCTACTCCCTCCGATGCACCCTATCTCTCGATGTTGCTAACCCCTCAGACAACTCTCGCACTCAGGTCCAGTATGGTCGAGTAGGTGCTGTGTCCTCTCCCGTCTGCTCCATGGAAGTAGATAGTAAACTCGACGTACCTCTGGCTCCTCCGTATCTCCAGGGCATGTTCCGTCATGAGTCTGATCTGTCGCTCAACAATCTCTAACGCCTCTCCTTCCCAGCCACCCGTCCTATCTCGCCGCAGGGAAAAAGTCACCCTCAGCATATCCCGGTCTGCCATACTCTCCACTACTCCCTTCTCTAAACCTCACTCGGATATGTCTTGCCTCTAGTCGTCTCATGCATCTCGCATATCCTCATCTGTGTCCTCATCTACCCTCTGCCACCATGGGATGTCCTCCTGCCCCTCGGCCTGAAGGAGATGACCCGAACCGTCCTCCTGCGGCGCCTCTCCGCTACCTGCTCCTGTCGCTCAGCCCGCGCCAGATCTCCCCAGTCCTCGTCCTGCTAGCCCCAAGGGTCTATGTCATCGAAGTCCTCCCAATCCCGATCCTCGGTGTACCACGCAAGATCGTCAGCCTCTGGATATACCTGCTGGTAATACTCCTCAACCTCCCCGGTCGAGATGAGGTGGCTCAGCGTCTCCTCACGAGTCTCGGCTAGCAGCTGTCCCACACCAGCTAAATGATCAGTTGGCCTCCGGGCTTCTCTCTCTAGCGCCGTCCAGAAGGCTAGGGGCTGGTACAGAGAATACAAGTCTGAGCTCCCGATAGGTACAATGGTCCGCAGAAACTCAATCAACTGGAGCCCTCGCTTGCCTACAAGCGGCCCCGCTATAAACTGCGCATACAGTACCCAGTCCCTGTCAGTGTACCCTCGACAAAGGCCGTTCAAGTCAAGAGCCGCAAAGTACATCTCACCCAGACGTCTAAGTCCCCAAAGCTCCTCCGCCACGAAGCACGGAAGTGTCACACGCAGTCGACTGCTAGGATATGGGAAGTGTCCTCCAATCCTCAAGGTCCTCGTCACTCTCCGAACACCCCCGTGCAGCCGCTCTACCTCGCCCCGCGCGGAGTCCGCTCGAGCCAGTAAGATCCTCCTCGCGCTCTGCTCCTCTCCCCAATGATCATGAACAATGCCGTGAAAATAGACTGTGGCTAGCACCTCCCGCGAGTAGTAAATGTGGCCCACTACCTCTATGCTAGTCGTGCCTGGTCGTCGCCACCTCTGATTTTCTAGCTCAAACGTCTCGATGACATACGTCCACAAGTGTACGTCTAGGCCCAACACCCTCGATGACCATCGGCTCTCTATCGCATCCGCGGAAACCCCTCTGGCCGGCAGATCCAGCGCCACCTTGCCTGGCTCTACCGTCTCTGGAGGTCTAGGCCATCTAGCGTCGTCGATCTGAAGCTCCACTCCACTGGCCTACTCTATCATCGATGCGCTCTTCACTATCCGCCGATGTCAGTAGCTAGGCTCACTCAACCGCCTCCCTAATGCGCTCCTCTGCCTCCTACGCCCGGACAGCTACTCCTATCCTGGGGAAGCGGGCGTCCGTAACGTCAATCTCCTCCTCGTCCACCTCACTTCCTGGGTCGACCCAGTCTGGCTCTCAGGCGTCCTCGTCGTCCTCTCGCTCCCAACCCTCGTCGTCAAACTCGTCCTCGACGCGGTATGGGGCCTGTCCTATAGCCTGGTAGTACTCCGCCAACTGATGGCCGTGTTGTCCTCACTCCACCAGCTCCCCCAGTCGTCTGGGAAGAGCCGCCCAATGCAGGTCACGTACTCAGGGCCTGCTCGGAGCTCACGGTCTAGCCAATCCCAAACGCACGGAGACTGGGGCCACTCGTCGTCTATCGAACGGATCAGCTCTATAAGTTGAACCCTCTCGTCACCCCAATGAAGCCCACCGGTCGCGAGCGAATAATAG